CTGCGGGTCGAGAGAGTAGGCCACTTCAATATTTTACATCTTTCTTCGTATGTCATTTCCCCTCTAGTTTGTCGGGAAGCTATTTTAATGTTAGAGCATGTTTGTACCGTGTATGTGCTGTAAGTCAGTGCCATATGTATCCCAGTTATGCGACAACGCACCAAACCCGTTATTGCTGCCATTGCCTTTGAATATGAAGCTATGGATCAATCTTTTCGGATAAAGCGTGATTATGTTCACTAAAATGATGTTCAACGATATCGTTTGGGCTATTCTTACTATTGTAGACCTCCAATATACTATTTTTCCCATTGTCCAAATTTGCCGCCATACCAATGAGTGTGACTGGTGAAAATGCTTTGGGGATCTCCCTTACTCTGTACAACCCAGTGTGACAGTTGATTGCGTGACCCACTACGCATGACATCATGGTTGACTTATTCCCGCAACGATTACTGGTTTCCCTACTAGCTATGGAAACATGATCAGCGGTAGGACAACATTTGAAGTACTTCAGCAACGCTTCTCTAAAACGGTCGTTGAGAGCAAACACAAGACATGGGTTGATTGCACTATTTGCATGTGCAAGCATGATAGCTATACCATCTTTTCGGTCACTGGACGTGAACACCGCCTTCAACCACTCGATATGGACTGGCAACCAACATGCAACAAAAGCAAGCAAAAGAATTATCAAGAGACGAACAGTTTTACGCTTACTTCGGAACACTGCGCGCCGTCCGGCATTCGATGGCTGACCTGGTACATGACGGAACCAAAGACGTAAGCTAATCATGATGTAACTGATCGTCATGAGGACAACTGGCAAGCCAAAAATGAATACGAAAACAACCACGTAATACATCCTTCGTAGAGATTGGCTAGTCTCATCCAGTCTGTTTAAACACTTCATTCTGCCATGTTCTTTGCGGGTATTATACATATAAATACAAGGGATGCCTATGATCGCTGACACCATCCATATACTGATGATGATGCGTTTGACGTTACGTGTGACGATGATCCTTCTGATGGGGAAGAATACTGCTATGAATCGGTCGATAGATATAGCCATGAGCGTCATCGTAGAAGCAAGGACAGACAAGACAGAAGCGCTAGCAGCTATCTCACAGAGAACTGTTCCCGTTAATCCTTGCAGCCAGTTTTGGGCGACGCAGATAAAATATGACCAAATGGGCATGGAGAAAAGAGTAGCGACGAGGTCAGCTATCGCCATGTTAGCAAACAAGCAGTTGTTTGAATTTTTCTTCATATTGCTTTGGCTGAAGACCRTGTGAGTAAGAAGTGAGTTGGCAACGGTGGACGTCACCATGATGATGACGTAAAATGCGTATAGACCAAGCATGATGTCATCATAAGATAAGACGGGATCAGAGGAGTTTCCTGATCTTGGATAATCTGCATTGGAAAAAAAATGTTGAATGACATTTCATATTTCATGAGAATTGACAGCGCATGGCATCTGATGAATCATTTTACGTACAGCATTTCAGCAAGCACGCGGCATGCGAGCAGAAGCGCGTGTGGTGGGCGCTGCTAATGCGCCTTCTCTCACTAATGCGCAGAACCGGGATGAATTCAAGGGCTCGGTGTTTGTCGTATGTGAGTAGAGTTGTTTCGGTTTGTTCTTTCCTGTGCTGCTTCGAGGCTTTTCTCACCGGTTTTTCCTCCCTCCACAAAAATATACTTCTAAATTCTAATTCACTCTATCTGTCCTATTATATATTGAGTTATATCGTCCACCCTGGAGTGGGAAATCCCATTCGAATTTTGCATTGCTTAATCAAAATGGTGGTGAATATCCATACAGTTTATATTAGATCTTCATAGTCACAAAATGGAACAGTTCTGACACTGGTGAAGATAATCATGACATTCACTGGTTTTTCATTCAAAATTCAGAGTTTTTTCCATGAGAAATTGGGAAAACTACTTATATTAGATGGGCTTTTTAAGGCAGCCATATTGTGGGGGAGATAACAATGCAGTGTTCTTGCGCATGTCGTTCGAGTGACATTTCATTTCTCATAGTGATCAAAAGCTAGTATTCTCCCCTACAATAAAGATGGCCGCCAAGAAACCATTCTATTGAAGAAAGGTCCYCCTAAAATTTTGTTAGAAAAGAGCCAAGTTCCATATAAGTCGCAAAACAGTGTGATACGTTTAGTGATCAAACTTTCGGAAATATTCACTTTCTCCGACTGATAATCCCATGGATATTTGCACTAATCCAGAATCAGACACTTCAAGTCCGGCAGCTGGACAAAGTTATGCCTTAGCTTCCACAATATCCCAATATCCAAATCAATAGAAATCTTAACAAGATCGCATTAGGTTACAGCTCTGTGAAATAAGCTTGGCGACCTCTGGTTGTTTGGCAACCTCTATCGCTAGTGCGCTTTGCCATATGCTTAATCTTAACACAACATGAAACTGATATATTTATCAGTGAATCTTTCAGTAATGTAATTTCATTTGTCATGTAAATAAAACTTAATAGGATGTAGTAAAAAATTGCGGAATCGTTTATGGACATGGACTAATAGAATTAATTTAACCTTTTCGACTAAATTATATGCACGATCGTTTTTTTCAAATTTTACTGATACAGTATATGAATGATTTTCAGTGAAAGGAATAAAAAAATAAACAAGCAAACAAAAAACAGTTTGAAAATTGAAAAACATATCAACCTCGGCCTAGCATGTTCTTCATTTAGGAATTTCAATATTTTATTTTGTCATAAAGGCCCAAAATACTGACGAGGATTTTGAAAATTAAGATACTAAAGAAACAGAAGAAGTTTATGTTTTATTTTAACCTCCCACGTCTTCTTTTAGCTTGAAATGCTTCTACCTTAATTTTCTTCTTAAGCTGATGACCATAGTCTTTCTCAGCTCCAAAAGAAAAGGAAAAAACAGTTTCCCCGCAAATTGATTTAAGATATCATTGAACACGTCGTTTTTTTWAAATGAGAAGTGTAGCTAATAAGTCCCAAATCCCAGAAATTGTGAAAACTCCTTTTGACTTACCGCTAAAATTTGTCCATCTTATCGATGTATCGTTTTCCATTTTATTCTCCTCGTTGAGCCTTCTGTTTCAAGCCTTCTTTAAAGGATTAAATAAATTTAGTTTGAATCAACTATTTTCAACTTTTCATCGTACCAGTTTTTGCGACGCCGAAAAAGATTTTCACTTAACTTGAGCGGTCCCACACAAAAATAAAAGAGCTCCAAATGCACAATACTCATCAAACTATCTCACTGATAAATTATCAATTATTGAACAAGCTGAAAGTTTTGATTTGATTTCCATTATACTAATATGAGCCTAACTAATTTAAGAATTATCGTAAGCAATCCAAACTGCTGTACTATTAGCAGACAAATCCTTACCTCGACTTTGGTCGTTTCTCCTGACCCCGGCTCCCACTCAAGATCGATCAAAAAAATGATCAAAAGTCAATGACAAATGATACGTGAATACAGGTTGAGTAATTCTATTAGGTATTGAGCAATAGTTTGTAGAATATTWAAAAAAGTCGGTGAGGTGTTTTTGTGATGCTAAATAAATAAGTAGTTGAAAACGAGGAAACAAACGGCAATGTGCTCAATCAGTCAAACGCTCAAAAAAGGCTCGTAATTCTAAGCCATGGTTGATCAGCTGCTTCGACTCAATAATATGACAAAGGCCATCACGTAGATCAAGGTGTCTCATTTGAATTTTAGTGCTAAAAAACAAGCTAAGACGTGTTTTCATACAGCGATGCGGGTTAAAACGAAAGCCAAAAGAACTAGAATTTGAGAGAAGAATGCGGTTGACACATTTGAGGAACTTTTCCTGAAACTTCAAGGCAGACGGTGGAAGTGAACGACGGGCAGATACGAGGGGAATGATATTCTAAACTTGTTCACTTTTCGTTTAAAAGTTTATAGTTTGAATGCACTCCCAAACCTTTTAAAGCAAACCCAACAGCAGGAACAACAACTACAGCTGACACAACAACAGCAACAGTAACAACAACAGCAACAGCCAACTCAGTTCAGCAACAACCAAACCAATAATAACCACAATTTTCATGACTATCGTTAGCTTTGACTAAATTTCATGCCCTAATTATCTACTTCCACAGTCAACGGAAAGAGTCAATATTCAATGTAATGCTGCATTTACAAACCCAGACAAATGTTTCATCATATAAAACGAAGCGCGAACCTTAATGAATCTTTCGCGCGCGCTAAAAAATAAATTGGATTAGACTTGAATTTTCATCTAATTCTATTATCAATTTTTTCGTTTTTGTAAAGCGGTTAAGGCCATTGTACAGCCATGAAGCCCATGTTTGTGCACTCTAAAAAATGAGTGATAATAATAATAACAATAATAATAATAATAATAATAATAATAATAATAATAACAACAANAATAATAATAATAATAATAATAATAATAATAATAATAACAACAATGATAATAATAATAGCGAAGATCATGATCACGAGTACGCAGCCCCATTTGCCACACCCAAATATTTAAACATAAAAAGTCTATACACTGTTGTGTAGTGTATACGAAAAAATAAAGCGTTCACTAAATTATTCATTCAATTCTAAGCCTTACAAACCTTGTATTTAAAATATGGCCTTTGAATAGAAAAAAKGATTCTTTCTGAACAAACAGAAATGTTATGCACAGTCCAACTTCATAGTTGACGTGGGTTACCTGTGGATTCAGAATCTGTCCTCGTCCACGATTTCCCATAACAGCGGTATCATCAACAGGAAGTTGTAATGYGATCATTCTTATCAAAATGGCGGACAGATTGGAATGATCTGAGCTGCGTCTTCAATAAACATTTCCTTTCAAATAGGACCTCCTCTTTGACCATTATTATAGGTAGGTCTTATGATATTATTATTCTCATTATTTTTCTCATCACTTATATATTAAATCAAAAGAGTTTTGTTAAAATCACGAAATAATGAAATAAGTTTGATTTTGAGATTTTTGAAGTGTAGCGTTTTTGAAGTTACTACAACTACTGGAAGTCACAGCTTTTTTTAAGAAAAACTCTTAAACTATGATTTGGTGTTTTAAGCCCTTCGTTATTTTTGATGAAGAAACAAAAATCATCTAGTCTTTTAGTGGCTTTTGTTTAAGAAGCTTAAATGAAAGTCGAAACGAGTAGCCAGTTGTTGCTAGAATTCATGCTAGAACGAAMCGTATTCGAATAAGCTAGAATAGTTAGCAATTATTCGCCGAAGGCGAAGTGAATATCGGGGAATATTTACCAAGACGCGAGTCTTCGAGCGGCGGGATAAATATTCTCCATATTCTCTGAGCCTGAGGCGAATAATTGTTTTAGCATATACCAACTTGTGTACAGAGTAACTTATTTTTATATACACTAATTCAATAAAAACAAACAAACAGAAACTTTTAGTTTGCATGATGACAAATTCACGCAAAACTTTTAGCAAAACTTTAAGCAAAACTTTTAGGCCATACTTCGTTGCCTTTTTAGTATTGATAGGAATGGCAATTACTTTAATTTTTTCAATTTACTCATCGGAAATTGTAGCAAAACGATTGCCGGCAGATGCCATTTTGTTGCCAACTCAATATTCCGAGATTCAGAGGTGAATATTGTACGATATTCACCTCCAATTAACCAATGAGCATGTGCGTTCTTAGGAAGTACACAAGTTGGTATATGCTAACAAGATTTATCTTTCAACTTCTTGACAAAATTACCAAATGATAACACGTTGTTAATCATGTTGTCATTGTGCACGAATGACTAATATTTATTACTTATTTGTATAAGTTAGGATATTTGAATTTTAAGGAAAATGTTTCTTATTTCTTAGTATATATATAATAATTAGTTAGTGTAATATTGTTAAGTGCTATTGGACTAAATGGAAATAGGGCTATATTGAATAAAGGCTTATTATTATTATTATTATTATTATTATTATTATTATTATTATGTGAACCTAACAAGCTATTAATATGCATAAGAAAAATTTGTACAAGGTAGTATGGCTCAATTACTAATTTGTTTATGCTTATAATTATGTATTGCAGATGCTTATTAAATAAAGTTAAGATGGACTATTTTACAGCTGTTTTCATTGCTCTTTGCTGATTAAATGGCCGTCACTACAAAAAAAAAATACACTGCTAGAATAAATACATGCACTGCCATCAATCAGAGTATACGTGTATGTATATACCAAACAATTTATTTGATTGATGGTAGTCTATTGCCCGATTTGCCTGTGGTAAAAAATTTTCAGTCAGTGCATAGCAATGAAAACAGGGGTAAAATGTTAACTAGTYGTACTTGATTAAATACTTTATCCAGGCATCTAGTCTGTCTCTTATAATATTATAGGCCATACACATCTTGGTTTTTATATTCTACAGTGTTTGAAATGAGTAGTCAAGTGCAAGAAGAAGTTGAAAAGCTAAAAGAGCTATATAAAACAAGCTCAAGAGGTAGATTTTAGATTTTTTGTACGTGTACATCTTAATAGTTATGCTCTAACTTGCTTTATAAAATAACTGTTCTAAATCTCGCGTTTTGATTGGTTGGGAGCACGTGCTTTATGAGAGCACACAGCATGTGTGYGCACTTCCAGTTTCATTCCTGTAATTTGTATTCTATAAAAGAAATAAAAAACTTGCTTGCTGTGCTGTGTGGAGTTATAAAGCACTTGGGAATTGGCAGAAAACTCGAGAAGTGTTGAAAAGCACTCTGCTATGCGTCATGCTTCTTCTAACACTTCTCTAGCGTTCTTCCAACCCCCGCGAGCTTTATAACTGCGCCYAGCACGTGCACACATTTTCTATTTCTTCAATAATATTATGGTAAGTTATGAATGAAGGGAATTATTTTGTTTTCAGCTTTAGAGAACTGGCCAAAAAGTGATCATGTATCAAGTTGTGATGATAAAGCCTTTGTTGAATTGCTGGAAGAATTAACAGATTTGGTAAGCGCTGTATAAACCCTTTTTGTTATAATTTCCATAATGAATTTTAAAAAATATATTGTCATCATCATGTGTGTGAAGATTATGACACTTGGTCCAAGCCTACAAATTTTAGCACTGGAAATGAGACATTTTTTCCAGTAGATTAGTGGTTTTGACTGGGGAACATATGTCAGCTTTATAGAAAAAAAATATTAGTTAATTATTTCTCTTCTACAAATAAACCAGGAATTAGAAGCTGCTGTCCATGGACTGCAAAGACAAATCGAGGTTGAACTTCTTCTGGTCAAGAATCTGGAACGTTTGAGAATAATAAATAGGTAATGGTGTTTGGGAAATTAATATTTGAAGATGTAGCTATTACTGCATTATACTGGAGCTTCTAATTTGGGAAGAAAAAGTATTTCCTATTAGATATCAAGGCAAAAAAAAAAAAAAAAAAAAAATAGCTGGTCATCTAACAATGTCTGGCTAGAACTGGAACTTGTCAAGTTCCATTGAGCAGTTACATCTTTTTTCACCAGTCATTTCAACCAGCAACATTGAGCCAGAAATGATGTATGACTGAGCTAAAACTGCTGCTCGTCATGACCAGCAATTAACTGATGCATGCTGGTATTTTTTGAGCCACGACTATTAAAAATAATCTTGTCACTTAACTATTTTAGTGGTGAGTGTCCAGATACAAATTCCAAGCTAATCTCAAGTCAAACAAAAGTAGCAAGACTCAGGAGTAGACTGTTGCGCTGTCTTAGCAAGGTAAAAATAAAAATATGAAACTTTAAATTTAAATTTTTTAACTGAGATTTGTTATGATTTTTATGGAATGTTCGATACTTAGTGTACATATTATATATCAAGTTCTAATTGCATGCCGTTGTTACTAAACAACAGAGAATTAAATGTTTTGCATGAGTTGATAATAACAAGTGGGGACTGGTTGGGACTGTATTGGTGTATCAAATACAACAAGTGAATAAAAAAAAMAAACTTGTCATCGCTAATCACCACTGCAAAGTACAGCAGTGGCGCAGCCCAACAGGGTCAAACTGAAAGCATGTGAAGGCGCCTCTGGCAGCCGCTATACAGTCCATATATGACCCCAGAGCACAGCTCTAACCAGTTTGAATTAGTTAGGGTTGATTTTGAGATGAGGTAGGAAAAACCGGAGGACCGGAAAAACCCTCGGAGTCAGAAAGAGAACCAACCAACTCAGCTCACATGAGGTGACTGGGATTTGAACCCCAGACCTCAGAGGTGAGAGGTGAGCATTTTACCAGAATAGTAAGGACGCATTAAAAAACTGTATTACGGGTGTTAGTCCTTTAATGATAATTCTCATAGTAAAAGAGCTCACATAGTTATTAGCCAGCCTAGGATAAAAATAATGACTGGTCATGATATGATCAGCCACTGAAGAATTGCTTGAGGTGTAGCAAAGCAGTGCAACATGCATGACGACCAATTTGCCTGCATGCTGTGAATGTCTTCTTCTATATGGTAGCCTGCCAATCAAAATAATGTAAGCATAATATGGTGATACAATTACATTTTACACTTACATTTACCAGTTAGGTCATTCGCTCAATGCTGAGCATTTTAGACCACGCTAAATAGTTATTAAAATGATTAAATAATAAACATATTGATAAATAGAATAAATAATAATAAATAGTAATTGTCCAACAAGTTAATAAATATCTGCAGCTGCATTCTTAAATGCTGCAAAAGAGGTTGCTAGTGCTGCTTTCTTTGTAAGTTGGTTCCATTCTGAAATTGTTCTTGGGTAGAATGAGTACTTGTAATAATCCTTTGTGGATCCTGTGGATACAACTAGTAAGACTCAAATGAATTGCAAAGTTGGAAAACTTGGTAACTTAAAATTGTTGCTTGCTTGCTTTAATGACCATGGAAGACCAAAGAGAACCAAAGAACTACAGTACATGAATTTACTTGGCAATAAAATTCATTATAATCATATAAAGTTACTTACCACTTAAAATATCTTATATGAATTTTCCCTCAATGTCTTCAGCAATTGAACAACCAGGGACACAAGGAAAGTGTCCTTCCTCCTTGGCACAGTAAAATTGGAAATGAAGAGGTAACCACTGCTACAACTGCTGAAACCCAAAATGATACAACGACAGGGGGGCCTGGAGATGTAAGAGATGGTTCAGCTGAGATTGGAATTGCTGCCGACCAGCCTACCGATTCAGGAGAAGACAACCAGTTGTACAAATCTGGCTCAACAACTAGTGGAAGCAGTGAACATTCTGAAGTAGAAGGAGTTTCTTTTAACAAAACAGAGATTGAAAATCTCCATTGGGTTGAACCAAAAGATTTGTCCACTACTTCACCAGTGAGTAAAGGTACAGAGTGTGAGTCTTCTTCAAAAGAAGTTGGGAATGTTGCCAAGGACAAAAGTCCACAAAAAGATGCTCCTGAAAAGGGATCAAAACCAGGTATTGATGGGTTTCAAGCATTCCCAAGAGAGTTAAAAGACAAAAACATGGCGGCCATTGTGGTACCATTAACATTGGATGCTAATGAGAAATATTTTGTTAAATGGTACCAACATGGCCGCAATGGCGTTACGTGCAAACGAAGAATATGCTATAGTGTGTTAAATTAAACCAAACTTAGGAAGATCTTTAAATGTAGACTCTGTGATTTTACTTGCCCAGAGAAAAAAAAGTAAATTTATGAAATAACTGTTATAGATATCACATTTTCTTATTGGTTAGGTGCAGTGTAAGGCACTTTTCTCTGATGTTCTGCCAATCTCCACATTACTGCAGACAGTACATGTGCATAGTTTATGTTTGTTGAATTATAATATTATATAGAAACTAATTCCATGTTTTGGTTTTACTTACTAGTTATACCACAACTTTGTATCATTGGCAAAAACATTTTAAAAATCCTTATTTTTACGAAGGTAGCACTTAATAGCCAGTTGCTTACTAACCTGTAGCCCTATGTTCCATGATCAAATTGGAATTTAGGAGTTGGTTTTTGTGAAGGGAGGAAAACAGAGAACCTGGAAAATAAGAAGCACAGACGAGAACCCTAAGCTAGAAACTCTACCTACATACAACACCAAGCTTGGGGGGACTTGACCTTTGTCTCATTGCTGAGAGCAAGTGCTCTTGCTGCTACCCCAACTGTAATTACTTTAGCTTGCCAACCATGTTTCCTTGTCTTATGAATTTAATGAATTTAAATGTTTTTTTCCTGGTAAACACAGCTGGCGAAGAAAATGGAAAGAAAAAAATACAAGAGACATTAGAAAAAAATCTCCATGAAAAGGGCCACAATGAACACAAAAAATCCATTTCAGAATCAGATGTGTCACCTCCACCAAAACCACCTCCCTACAGTTCCCAGGAGAAAAAGGTAAAAATATGTAACACCCCATTAGAAAGACCCTTGAGTTTATCAAAAAACTTTGATTTTATCAAAATCCTTTAAGCAACCTCGAAGCTGACCATTCTATAAGTCTGGGCATGGCAAAGCTACAGATCAAATTGGGACTTAGCAYGTTTGGCTGTGGCATGGGGTGGGAAAGGAAAACCCAAAAAAACTTAGGACAATCCTCAAATCAAGCTTGCTGTATCCCATATCACACTGTAATTTTTCCCTGTTAAAGCCAAAGTTTATGAATCGACATTTAGTTCAGCTTGGCTGAAATTATTTATCGTAGTAGACCATGTGTTCGATCAGGGCACGAAATTAATGTTTGCAAACTCGCAAAATGTGAGTGAAATTTTGTATTTAGCAAGAGACAAAAAATTTAACTAGCTAAGTTTTGCAAGTATGACCACAGTCCATAAATTGAAGGACTGAAAATTTCAGAACCAGCATCAGGTAACGTTTGTTATTCATGGCATCCAATCRCTAGTGACCTTGAAGTTTCTGCTAATGAGAACAACATTTACTAGCAAGGTTTTGCTAGTTGGTTTAAAGGTTAATTTCGTGCCCTTATGTTATTTCTTTGTTTGATGGTTGTGGATGGAAAGAGACATGAATATTGAACAATAAAACTCAAGTGAAGAATATTGTTATCAAGAGAATGACAATCATGTCCAGACTTAAATTGGAAAAGTCATTACACCTAACAAGCTAAAAGATATATTCCATTATTAATGAGTTTTTTTAAAAATAACTTTATTATCGATAGTAGTCATACATTAATGCCATCTACCTCCACATAGCTATTTACACGATTTTTTTTACTTTACATTTTTTTAAAATTATTTCATTCTGTTATTTCATATAAATTTTCCTCTATATGCCGTCCACCTCCACATAACTATTTACACGTTTTTGTTTTTTTTTTGCTTTACATTTTTAAAATATTATTTCATTTCATTAATGAGTTTTAAAATATACAGTATGAGACAAGATTGAATATTTTTCTAATTTGTGTTTAGAATGCAGATTTAAAGGCATTGTTTCCAGATGATGAAGACATGACTGATGGTTATTTGATGACTGAACAGCCACAAATGCGAGATTGGGATCCGGTAAGTCACCCCCATTCCACCCCCACCTCAGTCTCTCAACCTCCCTGTGGCATGCCCTGTTTTGGTTTTCTATTGCTGGACAAGCCTTGGGATTGGGAAACTTTCATTGATTTGATATGGGTCACAAACTTCTTGGTCTTAAGAAAAGRAAAATACCCTCTCAGATGTAATGTTTTCCCATTTCAGACCACATGCCATTCTCTTGAGAATAAGATTATTCCTTTGTGTTGTATCCATGTTCATGTGTCATCTTATGTGTTAAAGAAAGAAAGAATACTCTAGAGAACAGCATGTGGTCTGAAATAGGAAAACATTACTACCAATGAGGTCTATTCTGAAGTGACTAAAAAGAGCCCCAAGAAATTCTTTGGTGCAGCATTATAAAAGTATTAAAAAATTGAAACGTTTGAAAAATTTGAMAAATTTGACAGCGTTTTGAAATAATAAGGCTGAGGTTCCTAATCTTTTGGAGTCAGAAGTAACCAAGGGTAGTAGGTGATTTATCAATGTGCAGGAGCCTTACTTTAGATCATCATTGTTTGTTTTCTTGCAGACATTATTACTTCAAGATTTATTTGTARACAAGAAAGATAACGAAACAAAAGAGGAGCAAGTATGGAAATTTTAGAAATTTATGCACATTTGTGATAGATTGTTGTATGCTTGGATATTTTTTGGTAATACCCTTCCATCCACAAAAAAATTCTGCTCTGTTTTTTTTTTTTAATATTTTTTATAAAAGTAGGTGACAGTGAAATGGTACTCATCACCATCACCATACAGAACTGACAACGTTAGACCCTTGAGTGTAATATCTTTCCATTTCAGACTATATGTCATTCTATTGAGCATAAGATTCTTTGTTTGAGTTGTTTTCATATAGACACCTTGCATGTGACGTCAATGGAGCTCAATTTGGAGGACAAAACGATGTAATTTCAATCTCCTGAGAACTGGAAATCTATTGTTTTGCCCCCCAAATTGAGCTGCATTCAGGCCTACCGTAAARTAAGTACTTTACCGAACATCCTATCAGGTCCACCATGCCAAGTGGCTCGTGATTTCGATGGTCCTGAAGTAAAAATATCATAAGTCACTTAAAGCAATACTCAGTACGGCATTAAWTCCATTGAAACACGGGGATATTACGTCGATGGGTAACCTGCAAGGGATCTATTCGTGTGTCTTCTAATGCACAACCATTAAACAAAGAAATGATACTCAAGGGAATGACACGTGGTCTTAAATGGGAAAACATTACGCCCAAGGTAAAACTGTGTCTATTAGTGTATCAATTACAGCATGTGAGTTTACTACTCAACCAATGAAATGCTCCAGCACTGTCACGATTACTTTTCAGAGTAATATGAAATTTGCACCAGACTGGATTAGGRTTAATAATTGTTAAATAGACCATATTGATGATCGATACGCTGTTTGTATTTGATAGGCAGCTGCAGCTCCAGAGGAACCACCTTCCTTTGGTGTCGTGCGCATGGCAGGATACATGGATAAGTTACCCAGCACTTACAAACAGAAAAAGGTGAGATTTCCAACCTTATATTCATCGCGCCGAAATGTTTTTGAATTAGTAAGGTAAGAGGTGTGCTCGAAGAGACTCGTGTAGCACGTATTCAAAATATAACCAAGGCAAACCACACAAACAGACAAGCAAAAGTATAATAGTCGGTCAAGAGAGATGTGCCGCTGAACCCTCTAAACCCTGACCCTCTTCTAGAGTTAAACTGCCAAAATTCATACCATGGTATTATTTATTATATTAAAAAACCCCGGCTGTTCCGGTAGTTGCGAAAATAGATACCCTGCTCTAGAGAGAGGGGGGAAGAGAGAGCGCGTGATTTCATATATCCTGTTCCAGAGAGCTTGGCGATTTTATATACCCTTTTCCAGAGTAGAATCGCTGAAAACCATACCCTGTTTAGCGGCACCCACCAGTATAGCGGTATAGCGAATATAGGGGAGTACCCCCCCCCACGGGAGGTAGGCAAACGGTCTGATTTACTGACAGTTGACAAACAGAAACACAGGCAAACGCATCCATTCATCCAGCAGGCAGTTTCGAAGGCAGGAGGTGACTGTAAATCATAAGGTCACTTACAAGCTATTTTTTCATGTATCGTTTTAGTCGACTGTGTTCAAAGGATGGAAGAAGAGACATTTTAAGGCATTTGATGGTCAGCTGTTTTACTTTGAGGTAAGAATTAACCTCCGAATAGTGCAGTTCTCGTATGACTGTGAAAACCTCAAGGCACGAACACGCCCGTAACACGGCAAGGCATGCACGAGAATTTACTCTCCATCCAATCAAATACCCGGAACACGGCATAAACACTGCGCGAACACGGTCACGCCAAGGTCACGGCACTGTCAACCAATCACATTGCGCGAGGAAAAATTTCAGCCAATTAAAATTCTAGAAAACATCACAGTCACGGCACCTCACGCTTACGGCACTGAGCTTTTCACAGTCATGCGAAAACTGCACCAACGGTCACAGCACCATCACTTTCGCCGTCACGTTACGTCACGCACGTCACGTTAACGAAATCCAGTCTAAAATAGCTGATATTRCACTTGACCCCGCAATGAGGTTTTAGAATCATACAAGTGAGGATATCAGGTTGACATATACAATGCTTAAAATTGGTGTCTCATTWGCATCTGATGTGCATGCATCCATGATGATATCTGCTATTGGCCTCCAATACAGGCTACTCTAAAATGAATGCCAGTCGTGATAGATTTTTGGGCTACCTATAGTTGGTTCGCCAGAGGGAAGACTAGGTCTATTGTAAGTTCCAGGGTGTAGTTCGACCACAGGTAATCCAATCGCCGTAATATCTCCGCGTTTCATCAGATTTAGTGCCGTAAGTAATACTTCAAGTAATTTACGATATTTTTACTTCAGGACCATCGAAATCACGAGCCACTTGGCATGGTGGACCTGGAAGGATGTTCGGTAAAGTACCCACTAATGACTCCATTTCCAAAAGACATCTCTACCCGGGGGGACCCCGATCGGAGAAGAGCGGAGATGCTCGTTGTACCTCTTAGGGTTCCAGATCTGCAATTTGTTACCTCTTGGGTGTAACAAATCTAAAAGGATTACCAGAGAGTAAGCCAGTATCTGTTAGGGTGTTTTTTTGAGGCAATAAGATACCTAAGATAATATGATGACACTCAGAATGGCAGTTGTAATTCAGGATATTTATTTTGGTGCATTATCTGACTTCTGTCACTTAGATCGTAGAAAGTAGGTACATTTTAGGGATAACAATCATTAGTTGCCACACTCAACTGGACAGGACTCGGGTACCTTAGGGGTCAATTGCAAAATTTCCGACAAGCATCCCCGCCCTTCTTTACATAGGAGTCCCGAGAAGCATCCCTGCTCTTCTATATATAGGATCCCCCTGGATAACTCTTTCTTACCTTCTGATTTGTATAGTCTCCTTCTCTTTGTAGAAAAACTGGACAGGGTACCTCTTAGGGGTGATTTGCGAAATTTCCAACAAGCATCCCCGCCCTTCTATATATAGTATTCCCCCCCCCCCCCCCCCCCCCCCCCCGCGTAACTCTATCTTACCTTCTCATTTGTATAGTCTCCTTCTCCTTGTAGCAATTCCCATTGAACCCTGGTTTGGGGGCCAAAGCAATTTGTAATGATTCGTTATTCTTTTAGGTTGTTATCTCTGGCGAAAGAATGTTGGAATTAATAGACTCTGTAAGTAAGATAGTGATTATACCTCTTTGTTTCACGGGCCAAGTGAAAATCATTGTAGTTTTTTAGAGGAGAGCGATGCTTTCATTTAGAGAGAAATACGCCGATCCCGGCTAAGATTGAGTGTCCACCCAAAAAAGGGTAGTTTTCCCAATAGAATAAAGAATGCCCGACCAACAAACTCGAATTCATAAGATTTTTTAGTAAGGTCGATTTTTTTTTCTTAAAGTACCTTTAGAATGCATTGATTCTAAGACAGACATTTACAATTTTCAGGACTCGGTGTCTGTTCCATGCTGTATATCAAAAACACAGTTTAGCTTGTCCGATGTAGCAACAGTAACTAGGGAGGTAGAACAATGAATGTGGGATGAGTGTATTAGATAAATGCTCATTGAGTTGTCTGTTCCATGCTGTATATCAAAAACACATTTTAGCTTGTAGCAACAGTAACTAGGGAGGTAGAACAATGAATGTGGGATCAGTGTATTAGATAAATGTTCATTCAGTTGTCTTCCATTTAATCAGGAGGGCAAGGCAGCACTTAAAGTCAGATGCGCAACACCAGCAGAAGCACAGGACTGGAAAGAAGCCATAGAAGAAGAGGCAAAAACTAAAATCACTCAAAATGTAGAATGTACCGACTCCTCTCCGGAGGTAAGTTGTGCTGCTTACAGGACGAATTCACTGTAATTCCATTTTTCAGGTGCCCTGGTTTTTGAGTGCATCTTTTTTTTGAGGACCTCAAAAGTCATGGCTTTCCCCTTTATTGAAGGCAAAGGCAAAATAATTATATTTAACGTTGCTAGTCATTCCTTCAGCTACGTGGCTGGTATCCGGCCAGGAAGCCGACGGTGCGCACTTTACCTCCTCTGTCCATCAGTGCCCTGTTTTAAGAGTATTCAAAACTGAAGCTACAAGGATTAGAGAGAAATCGAAACAGATGTGGAGATCCTGAGGATCGAACCGTGGACCTCTATCTTCGTGCACTAAGGCCGAGCACTAACCAAATGAGCTATCCCTGTTTCTATTATCCACCCTCTTTTACCCCAGCTGCACTGATGTATAATATATCTATCATAGGCTTTCCTTTTCATTATATGATCTACCTTCCATTTTTCTCTAATTCCAGGGCTCAGTGATTGTGATAGATCTTGGCTCTAGTTCTGTTAAGGCAGGATTTGCAAGCGAAGAAGGTAATGAGACAAGCCATATGGCTTGTTGGTATTATCACCAGTATTGTTCATTACGGGTAGACTTSTTTTCTCAGTCTAAGCGAACTAGCCAATCAGGAATCATTTTGTTTGTAGAATGCTGTCTCAGTTCCAAGTTCGGCTCAATGAACTAGTTTTTTTCTGGAGATTTGAAATAATCTGAGTTATGGGGTCAATGATTAAATAGAGGACATTACATAGGCGTGCGGAGATACGAAATTTATCTTTGAGTGTTGAAAAGATCTCTCACGAGTGAGCGCAGAAGATAAATTCCGTATCTCCACGCGCCCATGTTTTATCCTCTATTTCTCAAATGGTATTGCTGGCGGAATGTTCATCAGCTGAATCGCAAGCTTTTGATAGGATTCTTTCTGGTTGACAGCACATGGTGGTCAGTGATTGACCACCATCTGGAGCAGATAATAAGAATCAAAAACTTTTATCAGCTGAGTGAAAGTCAGCAATACCCAATCCATAAAATGAGTTTACTCATGATTTGCTTTGTTACAGCTTGGCCCCAAGTAGTATTCCCTTGTGTATGTGCTGAACTCAAGGAGGATGAGTAAGTAGTTCAGTGCACGATTATTTACAAAAGTCTTGCATATGTATCAGTTTTACTTGCTGTCTCGAATCTGTATACCAAATAAGTGTTAGTACATTTAAATACAGGTACGAATCTCAATTTTTCAATTACAGTGAAATTCCGGTTTGAAAATTGAAAAAAAAAGTCGAATAAATTCTTGCCCCTGGTCATGTGTGTTTATGTAGGTCAGACTGTGTGTATGGTTTTGACGCACTGGTACCTGAAAGAAGAAAGAAGTCAATTCTACGCTTTCCTCTGCGAAGATCTCTAAAGATTGACAAGGTAAACCCTTAGTAATGCCAACGTTTCATATCGTAGTGTATTCTGCGTTAAGCCTGACTTTAACTCTGTTTAAAAGTCGAAGCAGAACTAAAACCAGAGGGCTACACGCAGGCTAATTGTGGTCGTAGTGTAGTCCAATAGGCACCTTGCTTGTGACGTCAAAGGAGCTCAATTTGGAGGACAAAACAAAAGAATTCCATTCTAAAGAGAATTGGAAACCTATTATTATGTCCTTCAGATTGAGCAGCATCCCGAAGTGCTGCAAGGGGTGTAAATAGTTTGGTTAAATTCCCTACATGCATCATATATTGTGGATAATGCTATAAAGTATTCTGCTCGTTAGTAGTTGAATGTTCCATTGACCTTCACAGCTCAAGTTCTCCCCATCTGCGTTGACTGGTATTCTAGAGCATGTCTTTAGCATGCTGAAGGTGAATCCTGCCAAGCACAAGGTACAATATTCGTACACAGTGCATTAGTAACCCTAGTGCAGTTGTGATGAAAGTGAAAGATCCTAGATTAAAGATGTTGCAATCTGTTTCAGGTGATAATGACTTTACCTCAAAATACCAGCCTCAATGAAAAGGTATGTGAATTCAGAAAAAGAATTATAAATTGATATGCATGGTGATGGAGATAATGGCGATGTTAAAGGTAATGATGTTGCTATTCTGGGGCGGTGGTGGTGATAGGTGATGATAATGCCGTTGTTGGTGGTGGTTGTCCCATATCCTTTGACACAGTAATGTTCAAAGATGGTGATGATGATGATAATGATAGTGGTGGTGGTGGTGGCGATAGATGGTGATGATAATAATGCCGTTGTTGGTGCTGGATGTCCCATATCCTTTGTCACAATGATGTTCAATGGTGGTGATGATGATGATAATGATAGTGGTGGTGGTGGTGGTGGTGGTGATGGATGTCCCATAACCTTTGTCACAGTGTTATTCAACGATGGTGATGACGATAATAGTGGTGGTGCTGTGGTGATAAATGATGATAATGGCGATGTTGGTTTTCCCATAACCTTTGTCACAATGATGTTCAACGATGGCGTTGGTGGTGATGATGATAGTGATGGTGGTGTTGGTGGTGATGATGATAGTGATGGTGGTGGTGGTGATGGTCCAGAAAGTGATGATCATGGAGGTGGTTGCGATGAAGAAGATGATGGTGGTATTATGACGATAGTGATGGTGTTGATGGTGGTGATGGTGTTGTTGTTGATGATAATTGGAATGTTGTTGCTGTTCAGTGATGGTCACCGGGTGGTACCGATGGTGATGATCATGAAATTACCTAGTAATGTGGGTGGTTGTGGTCATGCTTGTGATGGTGATAGTGTTAGCTTCGTTGTGGTGATTCTCCTACATATTTGTCACTATAGTAATCAATGTGGAATTCTTCATTATCTTTCAAGGGTGAGCTCGTGGATATCCTATTAGGATTCTTCGGGGTTGAGGCGTGCTACCTTCAACATCAATCAATACTGGCCCTGTACTCTTACAGCGCCGTGTCTGGAATTATCGGTAGGTATAATTCTGCCTGACCAATATTCTCTTTCATATACTGTAGTTTTTGTGGGAAAATCATTGCAGAAATGAAACAGCTTTCTTCTTTTCTTCCCATTAGTGGACATTGGAGATCATATTGACGTGATTCCTGTTGTGGAAGGTTTGTATGCTTCTCTCTAATCTTGGAAAACCTTACAAATTTTACACATGCCTTGAAACAACTTCTGGGCTGATGAAAGTCAAGGCACGGCTAACTCACAGATAGAACCCTAAAACAACCTCTCAGATATATATCGAACCTAAATGTAATACAAAATGTCATACGTTTAAATGATGACATGGGCTTTGTTCTAGGATGTGTTATTGAGGCTGGTGCATCCAGGTTACCATATGGTGGCCGACAGATCACAGATATGCTGGCTAGACTACTAACGGAAAAAGGCCATAGGTAAGGCAAAATCTCTAGAAAATTCACAACACTTTTGCTGCAAAAACCGCATTCGAATTCACGTTGTTGGCGCTAGCCATCATGTGGTATGAATGGTGGAACATTGTGTTACAGTCACCAATAATTTCGGACATATGCAGCCAGGCGCGCCATTCCTTCAATCATTCCATATACATTCATTATTTCACTGATCTGTGCGTAACATTTTAGGTTCTTCTCTGAAGTCAAATCCCATATGC